GGGTGTGAAGGAAGCAGCCAATCAATGATTTCCTCTCACCATTGATGTTTCTATTTCTTTCTCCCTCTCCCTTACTCTCTGAAATTAATAAAAATATTTTTTAAATATATTTTATTGATTTTTTACAGAGAGGAAGGGAGAGAGATAGAAACCCAGAAACATCGATGAGAGAGAGACGTCGATCAGCTGCCTCCTGCACATCCCCAGTGGGGGATGTGCCTGCAACCCAGGTACATGCCCTTCACCGGAATTGAACCTGGGACCTTTCAGTCCGCAGGCTGACGCTCTATCCACTGAGCCAAACCGGTTTCGGCAATAAAAATATTTTTTAAATAAAAAAGAAAAGAATGATGGGATGACTTGTCACCTCTGTGGTTTTATGAAGAGCAATCTGATGAAATCAGTGAATGAGAAGAGGGAATAATAGGTAAATTCCCTTAGTCACCCTAAAGGAGCCAGCATTTGAGTGGAGCTCTGATCCCAGGCGCCTGCAGCTGGAGCCACCACAGATGGTGGGAGAAGAAAGGTCAGGGATCAACAAACAGCCCGGGCCTGCCAGGACAGTCTGCCTTGGGTTGGCACCTTTCACCCTGCCTGCTTTCAGCATCTCCCTCCTGTCCCATCAGGAAACGGGAGTTTTATTCTCCTCCTCCACCACCCTGGGCTCCCAGGTCGTCTCATTTGATGAGCCATGAATGCGATGGGACACATGACTGCCTCTCCCTCCAGAGTCCCCACTCCCCTCCCTGCCTGGAGGCCAGCGCGTGGGGACCCGGAATGTAGGGCAGGTTCTCAGAACTTATCAAAATAGCACAGCCAGCCTCCTGCCAGCAGCACTCAGAGAGGGGGCTGTGAAGCGGAACACAGCGCATGGGGTCTGCCGATCGGAGCCCGATCCGAGCCCAGATAGCTTTGGTAGCTGATGGGCCTCTGGGAAGCCCGTGTTCTGCCAAAGCGAAAACGGGAACTGTCCCCAGCGCCTATCTGTGTGCGCATGTGAAGTGAATGTTCTTAGCCCGGCCTGTGTGGCTCAGTGGTTGAGCGACTATGAACCAGGAGGTCAGGGTTTGATTCCTGATCAGGGCACATGCCGGGGTTGCGGGATTGATCGGCAGGAGGCAGCCGATCCTGATTCTCTCTCATTATTGATGTTTCTATCTCTCTCTCCCTCTCCCTTCCTCTCTGAAATCAATACAAATACATGTTTTTAAAAAGGAGTGAGAGAATGGTCTGATAGCAGACCAGTGCCCTGCGGTCCCCAGACCCCATGCTGCTGTGAGGGCTCGGACTCCGGCAGCTCTGCTGAGAGAGGGGGCAGGGCAAATGCATTAACTGCCCCCAGAGCTTCTGTTGTTTACCAGAGCGGGGCGGGGTTGGACTCCATGAGGCTCCTTCCAGTTAGAGCCCATCACGCTGAGTGCCGGGGGCCATCGAAGCCCGGGGTGGGGAGGAGAGAGTCCCGCTGCCAGCCCAGGGCCGGCTTCCAGAAGGGCCATTACAGTAATGGGCGTGCAGCAGGGTGCAGGCCGCTACGGAGAAATGGGAGAGGAGGAGGCAGGCAGATGGCGGGGGGTTGGGGGGCCCACAGGCTGTCCTGACCAGAACTCACAAAGTGGCCATGAGAATGCAAATCAGTAAAAGGATCCTTCGTTCAAAAAGTTCCCTCGCCTGTGGGAGGCGGCCAAGTGGTCAGCGCTGGCTGTAAACAGGAAATCCCAGCCCTCACCAGTTGGGCTCAGTGGACAGAGCGTAGGCCTATGGACCAAAGGGTCCCGGGTTTGATCCTGGTCAAGGGCACGAACCTCAGGTTGCAGGCTCCGCCCCGACCCCGCCCTGGTCAGGGGCATGCAGGAGGCAACCAACTGATGTGTCTCTCACATCGATATCTCTGTCTCTCCCTCTCTGCCCCACTCTCTCTAAACTCAATGGGAAACTATCCTCGGGCGAGGATTTCTTAAAACGTTTTTAAAGGAAAAGCACCAAGAGCTTCTGGTGCCATCGGATGGGAGGCGCCCAGGACAGTCGCCGGGAGGTGAAAAGCTCGGTCCCAGGTTCCTTTCCAGTTGGCCCCGCTCCTCCCCGCCCGCAGCTCCAGTGTTCCCCCCACTAGGCTGGGCCTTGAGAATTGGGGTTCGCCAGCCCAGGTAGACTGGCAGCTCTCCCACTTCCTAACCATGAAATGGGGGGAACCCAGCAGACTGTTGGGGGGGGGGGTGCCCAGCACAGTGCTTGATGGAAAACAGCAATCCTGCCCTGGTCTGGAGACCAAGCACACAGGGTACTCAGGGACTTGTGGGGGGGTGGGGGGGAAGAGGAGGGCAGGAACCTTCTAGAAGGTTCTAGATTTCTAGAACCTTCTAGCTCCCTGCGCAAGGAGTTGCCAGCCCAGGAACTGAGCCGGTGCCCCAGAGGAGCCAGCCCCTGAAGGCTGGGTGTTAGGATGGGGGAGTGGGGTCAGGGCTGGGACCTGGAAAAACAGGGTGCAGTGCTGCCCTGCTCCCCAAGGGCCGCTCCAGGGTGGGAAACACCTTGCCATCTTCCTTTGGAAAAAGCCTGTCAAATTCCAACTCCAAAACCTCTCGGGAGCCTCCCTAGCAGCTAAGCTCGGGCTGAAAGGAAGCAACAAGGTGAGGCCGCTGCCCAAGGGGGCCGCGCGGGCCTCCGCCCCTCACCCCTCGG